AGTTCGCACGGACTTCGCTGTATATCAATGTACAATAAACCGACGATATTTCTTCTGGAAACAACGCTGCATGTCTTGCATTTCTAGTTGTCTTCGAAACACCCAAGAAGCGGCTGAAATTCTTTGGGAGTTCTTCCGCCAGTACGTCGATCGTTTGATCTAGTTGATCAATGGGTACAAACACGAATTCCATCATTTTGCAAAGATCCATTCCAGGCAAAATCAGCATCGGTGTTATAAGCGCCAAGTAACTGCAGTTTACCCAATGCCTTTCTGTTGCAATTCAGATGGTAAAAGCAACGATGATGTTGAACACTGAGAAACGCGTCCTTTGCGTGCATTGGTGTAATTTCGAAATCGCAAGTTATCGAATCCGGATGAACTTCTGGCACCTCTGCTTTTATCATCTGCTCGCGGCTGCCTGCCTGTTTCGCAAAAGCTCATATATAACAGGATTGGCATTATAAAACTTTCCCACAAACACTGTATAAACTGGTGTATCTGGCTTCATACGCCGAGAGATCACCACAACGTCATGTGTACAAAGTTACAGCAATTGTGCAGTACAATACGCTGTGACATAGGTGACTGGACGAATTAAGGTTTACGGAGTAATAACTCACATATTTCGTGGTCTTATAAAAGGTTAAAATGGGTGAATCGTGGCAGCCAAAAAAATACCGTATTGGCCAATAAAAAGAATTGATTCGACAATGCCGAAATATTATCCTCACATCTGAAATATAGTACAACAACTAGATCAAAAGGACGAGGTCGAGATATTCCATAGTAAAGTGCATATATGCATTTCTAATAAGAATTGTTAGAGGAAAGTGAAACTGATTTCTGCAGTCCCATGTATGATTTGCAATTTTAATACGCTAATAATCCGTCTTCCCTTATGAAGATCAAAAGAGACAAGATATAGGACCAAAACCACGTTTGCCTAATCAGAAAAAATTTTCTGTGGAACGAGTATCGCAACGTGATTTAAAGTGAACACATTTGCATCTCTCCTTACTGCCCCGTTTGTATTTGGATTCAACCACCAAAGATGCCATCAACGAGTGGGATGTGGACGGGCGAACTGATACAATGGTCATTAATCCCTCCAATGACAATGAGACTTCAACTGCTGTTAAGTTCAGTTAGGTTGAGCACAGCCAGTTGTGCATTTTGTTGTTTACTATTCTGATCGCATTTCTATATAGTCCTGTTTTTCTTTACATAGGACTTTCTTCTGCATTTTTTGGACTGATATGGCATCGGCAAGATCTGGCAAGAAGAAGCAACTTTTTGACAATTGAGAAAAAATAGAAATTTTAGAGAAAATGTCGAAAGGTTAAAGTGGTGCATTATTGGTATGAATGTATGTAGTGGGGACATCAACCATCAGTGATTCGATAGGAAAGAAAGACAACGTACTGGAATATGCATCAAAAGTGGACTCTCAGGAGGAATCAACAAAACGTAAAACTTTTCCAATAATTCAGCTTTAAAAGATGCCATGTATGTGTGATTTACACAAAGAAAAAGCTTAGGTAACCGTTATCAGGTCCTCTCTGTTTGAGAAAAGGCCCTCCAATTCAATGAAAATCTGGTCGCCCGAGCAGATTTTAAGGCTAGTTCCCACTGGCTACAAAAGTTTAAACTAAGACATCGCATAAGATAACTCGAAATTCATTGGGAAAAATTATCAAGTGATTTAAACGCTTCACAGACTTCACAGACACACAAAAACGCTTTCCGGTTCTGGTTAGAGAAAAAGGATACAGCAAAGATGACTACACGACGTCGATGAAACTGGTGTTAAATGGCGGGCCTTATCACGAAAGTCACTAGTTTTTAGTCGAGAGTAACCAGCTCCAGGTTACAAAGTGAGAATAACTGCGATGGCGTGCAGTAATGCAAGTGAAACCCATTCTTTGCCGTTAATGATTATTGGAAAAATTAAAAAACCCCGGTGCTTGAAAAATGTGAAGTGCCTGTCTGTCTGTCGCAAATCGCAAACTTTCTGGATGACTGCCGACATCTGCAAGGACTGGTATGTGAATGAATCAGTATCAGGCGAAAAGAATCACTGCAAAATGTAAGGCAAAACGGGGAAAGTGCCTCTAATTATTGACAACGCCTCGACACATCTTCCAGTTGAAACTCTGGACGCCATCGACGACGATTCCGGAGTATGATTCTTGCCTCCCAACGTAACAGCATTACTCCAGTCCATGAACCAAGGAATCATTGAGAAAATGAAACAAATGTACAGAAAAAGCCTTTTGCGCTTCCTGCTGCTGGCACAACAGGGTGAAGAAAGTGCTGTCGTTTTTACGAAAGCACTGGATCTCAACGACTGTGATGACATGCTTGCAGGAGCCCGGGAAAACCTGACGCAAAGAAATTTGGATAATGGGTGGAGAAAACCGTGGCCTAAAGAAAAGGAAGGGCAAGAAGGTCAACCTGCACGTGAAGGAAATGAAGGCTAGTCAGTCTTGCAAGAAGTTACAGCACTTTTAGTCTCAATACCAGGTATTGAAAACTGTGAAAAAGGCGAAGCGATCGAGTTCGAGTGACTGGAGATCGACAAAACTGACCTCGGCTACCAGATACTGAATGACGGAGATTCTCAACGCTGTAACCAAGTCATTCTCAACCTGTGTCGCGACACGGTAGTGCGTCGTGAAGGATTTGCAAATGTGTCGCGAGATTTTCGCAAACTGTTGAAATTTCCTAGCGTTTTCAAGCTTTAAATAATTTCAGAAAATTTGCTTGCGTAATTCCAATTGTGATGATGAATCAAATGGCTTCAGATTGGCACTATTCGTTTGAGATTTAGAGATATTTGTTACTTTAGTTCTTACTTTAGCTAAACGTTTAACGTATTATTTTTGAATTAGGTTTCTAAAACTGGCGAGGAAGTTAAGCTTGTGTAAATTTCGGCTGATTTTGTGCTTTTTTGGTTGAAGTAAGGTAATAATCAATAATTATTAACCTAGTTTCCGCGTTTCATGGTTATAAACGTTCTCTTTATTTAGACATGGATAATTTTTTTTATCAAAATCGGTAGCTCCAAAACAAGATGTATTGAACCGAAGAAAAGGAACCAAGCGAAAATTCTGGGAGGAGAACATCGAGTTTGGTTTCGTAGCATCAGGATATGAAAATGCCCAAGTTCGTTTTTGCTTGCATTGCAACTCAAAGTTGTCGAACGAATTATTAGTTCCAAACAAATTGAAACGACACTTGCAGAAAAACATCCAGTGCAGAAGAACAAACTTTGAAAAATACTTTGAGAACCTCGTTATTGAGAAAAACCAACAATCAATAAAGCTCTCTAATTTCATGAAACTTCTGGAAAAAGGGACTTATTGCAAGTTACAAGGTTGCCCAGCTAACTGTAAAGCGTAAGAAAGCTCACACCGAAACCGAATCAATCATCGCGCTAGCATTAGCAACTATTGTCGAAACCATGCTTGAGTCTGATGCTGCAGCAAAAATGAAAACAGTTCCTCTCTCAAATGACAGAATTTGGAGAAGAATTCAAGACTTGTCGTCTGATTTGCAAGATCAAATTTGTCAAATCTGTGAATACCTCAAGGAACCTTGGTGCGAGCTTTGGTCACTTCAAATCGATGAATCAACCGATATCAGCGGAGAAGCTCAGCTTCTTGCATTTATTCGTTTCATTAAAGATGGAAAATTTATGAAACGAATACTTGTTCAGCAAAAATTTGCAGGACATTACAAAAGGTGACGACATTTTCTATTTAGTGAACGAGAACGTTTTGTTCTTCAATTATAAGTGGAAAAACTGCGCTAGCGTTTGCACCGACGGATGTCCTTCAATGCTGGGAAACAAAACAGGTTTCGACACACTTGTGCAACAACAAAACCCCAACATTACAGGCGTCCACTGCATGATTCATAGAGAGGCTCTCCCATTCAAATCATCGCCGAAAGACAACTTATCCAAGTAGTGAATTTTGTCAAGTCTCGACCTCTTCAATCTCGAATTTTTGCTCAACTTTGTGACGCAATGGATTTTAACTACAAAATGCTTGCTGTATCATACCGAAGTTCGCCAGTTATCAAAAATAAAAGTGCTAAAGAGACTTGTACACCTCAAAGTAGAAGTGATTTCTTTCCTTGAAACTGAAGAACATCATTTTGGTTTTGAGCTGCATGATAAAATCTGGCGGCTGAAAGTTCAATTTCTTTCCGATTCTTTTCGAAAAATTGAATTCACTGAACCCAACTCTCCAAGGACCTTCCGAAAATACCATCATATCAACAAAGAAACTGAAGGCATTTGATGAAAAATTGTCCTTGTGGAAGAGCAAAATCTCGAAAGGAATATTTGATTGCTTTCCAATCGTCAAAGAATCTCAATTGAAGAAGGAAATCGTCGATGAAATTTCAAATACTTTCAGTGTTCTACAATCGTCAATTCAGCATTACTTTCCATCAATGTCCATCGACGAGTATGAATGGGTGATCAACCCTTTCGCGGTTAGTGAAACAGCCAACTTGACGACCGTGGGGAAAGAACAGCTGATTGATCTGAGAAATAAATTCCAAATTTACTGACACGAACTAGGAAGTTTTGGCTTTTAGTTGAGAAATCCTTTCCTTTGATCAATCTGAAAGCAGTCAAAATATTATTGCCATTTGCCACTTCGCGGTTCTGTGAATTTGGATTTTGCGCTCTGACTGAAATCAAATCTAAAATGAGAGACTTCTGAGAATTGAAGACGAAATGCGAACTTCCTTGTCGACTTTGATTCCACGATATAACATGATCTGTTCTCATAAGCAATCTCAGCCATCTCACTGAACATCAGTAATTTTCAGCTATAAAAATTGTTGTCTTAATTTTTTGGTATCGCGAAAATTTTAAGATTTTCCCCGTGTGTCAGTTCCCAACAAACCTTGAGAATCACTGCTGTAACCAATACGGAGACTCCTGCAGATGATGACCACGCTGGAGACGTCGACAATGAAGAATTTGCCGGGGCGACCCACGCTGAGGCGTTTAATGTTTTAGAGACTGCTATGAGTTGGTTAGAAAAACAACCGGAGTGCACAACTCAATTTACCAATCTACGATGAATTACAGACTTAGCTGCCAGAAAACGAAGCACAAATCTTGTTCAAAAACAGCGAGACCTTTTCTAAACATAATTATAATAGTTTGTATGATTTGAAATATAATATAGGCATACTTTATAGGTTCTGTCTTGTGTAGTTTTTTTCTAGTTTTTCAACAAAACAGTTTATGTAATGTGGACCATCACTGAAAAACTTCGAACCCA